TACCGACTCGATGGCTCCTAACAACAATAACATGGGTTCTTATCTCATACATGGAGTTTGTTAGTAGCAGAATTGTGTGTTTGTAGTGTACAAAGCTTATTGGATTTTTTAATAATGTCAGTTACATTTTGTTTTCCATAGAGCTGGCAGTGCCACAGTAAAGCTACGAGTGACTTTGCATTTATTACCTCTTCAAGTCTTGTTGCCACGTCTGGACAGTCCAATGACAATAGGTAAGCTGACTGAGAAGCAAAATAAGAACATTTTAAGTAGAAGGATATTCTTGCCAAAAAGTGTGGGGTTTCTGTATAACAGGGTCCTCTCTACCCTCTTTGAAGTCCTGGTATGGCACTGTGGGTTAATGCACTGGGCTGCAAAGTCGGTTTGAACCACAAGGTCGGTGGTTCAAGCTCACCAGTCACTCCTTGGAAACTCTACTCAGAGTCACAATGGGTCAGAACTGACTCGATGGCACTTAACAGTAACCACCTCTGGTAGCATAGTGGTTATGAATTAGGCTGCTAACCTCAAGGTTGGCAGTTCGAAACTACCAACTGTTCTGCGGGAGAAAGATGAGGCTTTCTGCTCCCATAAAGATTTACAGCCTTGGAAGCCCTGTACGTGGTCAGAACCGACTCCACACATACTTATTAACAACAACAGTGAATACATAAACTTTCTTTGGCGAATTAATTCTCACAGTTGTTGTTGTTGTTATGTGCCATGGAGTTGGTTCCGACTCATAGTGACCCTGTACAGGGATTCCGAGGCTGTAAATCTTTACGGGAGCAGAAAGCCTCATCTCTCTCCCGCGGAACACCTGGTAGTTTCGAACTGCTGACCTTAATGTTCGCAGCCCGATTCATAACCACTACGCTACCAGAGCTCCTTAAAAAATTAAAAAAAAAAAAAAAGAGAAAGCAAAGCCAAAAATTACTTGAGTCTAAAGTAGTCTTTTCAGTAGAATATTTTTATATCAAAGCTATTAATTTAACTGTTTTTTTAGTGGTTGTGAATACTGTGAGATTCTTGAGGAACAGTAAGCCTTTGATATACTCTGCAGCCATCGCGCTCAGCATTTCTTTGGCTTCACGCTGTTTTTATGGGTAACATGTGCCCCTAATGGCACATCCCCTTTCCCTGCAGTGGTTACCACCAGAGAGCATAGAAGCATCCCTTCTCCTCTGGAAACCGTATCACAATGTCCCCGGCGCCTTAATGAAAAAGAGATGAGGCAGGGGATGGAGAGGCAAGTGGGACCGTATGAGACAGAGCTCTGTAGTTTGAAAAGGACAGAGTTTTAGAAATTGACAATCAACGTTCTATTAATGTGAGTGAACAAAAACAATAACAGTCAATAAGCAAAAGTACTTGACTTGATTAAAGAACATGCACCTTGTGATGACTGGGAACAACTGTCTATGATAATTTTGCTGTTATTTCCTTCTTTCTAAAGGAATGTATGCCTCTGGGACACATTGGTATCACCTGGAAACAGCCTCATTCATGGTAAGTGACTTAGGGTCTGTGATTTTGAGTACACTCTGGAGGAATGTTTCCCTGGCTTTATTTTAATCAGTGAAGCCCCACCCACTGCCATCCAAGCCATTCTGACTCACAGCAACCCTGTAGGACAGAGTAGGGCTGCTCCTTTTGTCTTTGGGGTATCAGACAGCCTCATCTTTCTCCCTTGGAGTGGCTGGTGGGTTTAAACTGACAACTTGTGGCTAACAGCAGTCCAGTGTTTAACCCCCTTCACCACTATGGCTCCTTATTTAGTGAATCCAGTGAGTGTTTCTTCATGGGTTAAAAATGGAGAAATGTTCAGAATGAATGACAGAATTCTAAAGATTAGTTAGGATGTCTGGCTAGGTAGGTAATTACTGAGGTGATATGTATGGTCATAGGCATCCAAGTAGCCTTTGTGCTGTGAAGAGTGGTACTCCTAACAACAGTGTTTAAGAAATTAGTTGTAAAGTATTTGTCAAACTCAATAAAAATGAGATAATTTCTTAAAACTTTTTATTGTGAATTGAGTGAAGGTTTACAGACAAGACCATCAGTTTCCTGTTCAGCACATCGTAACACCTGGTTTCATCTCAGTGACTGCAATACCCACCATGCAGCAGTAGTCAGCCCACTGCCCCCTCTGTGCTTCCTGTTCCCATTCCAACCACCTTCCCATCCCTTCTCAGCTTTGAGGGATAGTATTTTAAAAATTAAACATAGCCATAAAATAAAACAAAGATTCACCTTGTGAAAAGATCTAGGAACAGGAACAATATCAAAGTGTTGCTCATTTTGTTTAAGAACTGTTTGCCACACTGGTGTCCTGAATTTCTACCAACAAAAGTGTTTCATGCTTACATTGTAACTGGTCATTTTTATACTAGTGTAATTGAGTATCAGGCACTTACTTGAGAAGTACTTTTGATGAGAGTATTTATATGGGACAGTACTGTTGTTGTTAAGTGCTGTGTAGTCGTGTCTGACTCATAGTGACCCTGTATAGGGTTTCCAAGGAACAGCTGGTGGGTTTGAACTACTGACCTTGTGGTTTGCAGTACAATGCTAATCCTACAGCGCCACACCAGGAGTCCACAGGACAGTACTTGGCATAGTAAATACTAGTCAGTGTTGTTGTCATTGTTGTTAGGTGCTATCAAGTCTGTTCCAACTCAATATAGATACCCTTCCTGATGTGGCACTGTGGGTTAATGCTCTGGACTAGAAAGTCAGTTTGCTCTGCAAGGTCAGCTTGGGTCAGGTGCACCTTAATTCTCAAAGTGATATCTTTGCTCTTTAACACTTTAAAGTGTTAAAATTTTGTCTAATGCAATATATCTGATTTCATGACTGCTGCTTCCATGGTTGTTGATTGTGGATCGAAGCAAAATGAAGTCTTTGACAACTTCAGTCTTTCTCCGTTTATCATGATGTAATTTATTAGTCCAGTTGTGAGGAATTTTGTTTTCTGTACATTGCGTTGCAACACATATTGAAGCCTATAGTCTTTGATCTTTATCACTAAGTATTGCATGGCCTCTTCACTTCCAGCAAGCAAGGTTGTGTCATGGGCATATTGCAATGTGTTAATGAGTCTCTCTCCAATCCTTATGCCACATTCTTATACATATAATCCAGCTTCTCAGTTTATTTTTTCAGCATACAGATTGTTGTAAAGTACAGTTGAATCAGTTCTGACTCACAGAGACCCAGTATAGGGCTTCCAAGGAGTGACTGGTAGGTTTGAACCACCAACCTTGTGCTTAGCAGCCAGTGCTGATCCTGCAAGGTTGTACGGTAGAAGGATATGACCCTGGCACACACCTTTCCTAATTATAAATCATTCAGTATCCCCTTGTTCTGTTCTAATGACTACCTCTTGGTCTATGTACAGGTTCCTCATGAGCACAATTAGGTGTTTTGGAGTTCCCATTCTTTGCAATGTTGTCCATAGTTGGTTATGATGCACACAGCTGAATGCTTCTTGTCACTGGTGGGTGTTAGTGAGGTGATTGAGTGTATCATGGAGAAGTTTGGTGTCTGTTTGTTTACTTCAGACTCCTTATAAGGCAGCAAAATTTAGTTTGGACTTAAGGTTTAAACTTCCTTCACTGTGTGTGCTTTCAGATTGAGATTATAGATAAAAATATTTTTCCTGGCATTACTTAGTATCTTTATCCTTTAAGTTAATTGGTTACAGAAATTCAGTGGCTTAAAAAAAAAAAAAATAGTCTCCCTTAGAAATAAGAACAATGTCTGTATTACTTAAATGTGAGTTAAATATTATCAGAATTACCAAGGAAGAAATTGTTTAGGAAAGATTTTTGGTGCCGTTCTGCTTCAGGTTTCACGTGCCACGATCATGGGGCTACGGTACTTCAATATGCCCCCAAACATCAACTCCTCATCTCTGGAGGCAGGAAAGGCTATGTCTGCATCTTTGACATCAGGCAGAGACAGCTAATTCACACATTCCAGGCTCATGACTCCGCTATTAAGGCCCTAGCTTTGGATCCCTGTGAAGAATATTTTACTACAGGTTCAGCAGAAGGTAACATAAAGGTAAGTCAGTGCAAGTGGTTGCATTGTGCTATATATTATGTACTTCCAAGACTGTGTTTAAAACACACACACACACACACAAAACAACCCCATTCATTAAAATGACAGTGTGAAGTAAAACTTTGTGAAGACTTTCAGCGTCGCTTGACACCCTACCCCTATCCACCCTCTACATCTATGCTGCTTTTTCTAGACTGTTGTTAAGTGCCACTGAGTTGGTTTTGACCTATAGCAACCCTCTATAGGGATTCCAAGAAGCAGCTGGTGGGCTTGAACTACCAACCTTGTGATTCAAACTGACTTTGCAGTCTAGCACATTAACCCACAGCGCCACACCAGGACTCCCTTCTAAAAAGGCACCCTTGCCGTAGATACTCAACCTTCTTAGGCTCCCAAGTTGTTAAGAAGTCTAAAAGAAGTTTACTTTGAGTAAAGTGCCTGTGTTTAATTAATAAATAGAGTTTCTGGTGATAGCAATTTGGCTCCTCAGAACCTTCTCCCCCACCCCCACCCCTTTCTAGGTCTTGATTGTACTGGATAGTTGAGGTATTTCCAGATAAGTGAGATAGTTCTGTACTTCTTTTATGTTGCCACAGGGCCTAGCTTAGTGGTGGTGGTGGTGATGTGTTGTGGAGTTGGTTCCCACTCATAGCAACCCCGCATAGGGTTTCTGAGGCTATAAATCTTTACGGGAGCAGAAAGCTTCATCTTTCTCCTGTGGAACTGCAGGTAGTGTCGAACTGTGACCAAGAGATTAGCAGCCCGACTTGTAACCACTACACTACCAGAGCTCCTTTAGTTTAGTATTAAGAACGTATTTAATTGAACTAACTTAAATATTTAATTGGATTAGAGATAGGGTATATATGGTTAACAAGAAATTACATGAGGACGTAAAGAGAGAATTGGATAGAAAGGACCGTGAAGGACAGTAAACGGAATCCTGTGGAAAGTGTTCTTTTTTCCCAACTAGGTAAGTGGTTAGGACAGAGGATGGGAAAGCTGGGATGGAATGGCATCAGTTGGGCCAAGGGAATCATTTGGTTTTGGTCACTCTCTCTTTTTTAATGACTATAACAGTTGTTTTCACTCTTTGTTTTTCTTTTAAACTAGGTTTGGCGATTGACAGGCCATGGCCTGATTCACTCATTTAAAAATGAACATGCTAAACAGTCCATATTCAGAAACATCGGGGCTGGAGTCATGCAGATTGACATCGTCCAGGGCAATCGGGTCTTCTCCTGTGGTGCAGATGGTACACTTAAGACAAGGGTTTTACCAAATGCTTTTAACATCCCTAATAGAATTCTTGACATTCTATAGCCTTAAAGATGTGGGGCTTTATTTTTATACACATTTCAATTAAAGATACTGCAGTAATTATTAGGCACCGAGGAAGAAAACCTGTCCTGCTTGCCATGCAGTTAACTCTGAAAACAACACAAACCTGTGTAGATTTGAATCTGACCCAAACAGTGGTGTTATGCTAAAGCAACGCCTATACAGGTTGGTAGAATGATCGTGCATGTACCTTGTTATAATGCTGACATACTGAAAAAATCAAACCTAGTATTGTACGGAGGTTAGCTATTCTTACAGCATTTAGCCAATCTGATTCAGAAAACATTTGAGGTTAGAGATTAGTTTATGGTAATACGAAGGACCTTGATATCAAATTAAGGAAGAAAATGTTGCTGATTCAGGTTTTTGTTTCTATTCTTACCACTGATTGAAGCATGCCTGCAGTTTCCTTCTTTGCTGACTGAAGGATAGTCCTAAGGGTTAGGAGCTCTATACCACCAGAAAAACTTTTCTTCGTTATGAAGCAGTGCGCAGTGATGGATTCTCTGCCCTGAGAGGTCATTTCCATTCTTTTCCTGCTGAATATTTTCCCTGTGAAGTGTTTATACTGAGCTAGTACTGTAACTTGCAAATGAGCGCAAATCTTAATGCAATGTTTTCCTCACAATTTGCACATTCGCATTTTTTGGACTGCTAGTTTTTCTATTTAAATATTTGCCTTCATGTTAGGAATGTAAAATGTGAACATGACCTATCTGTTGCTAACCCAAACAGACCACCTTAGTCCAGTTCAGTAATTTTTCTTTTCATATATCCAAGGTTAAACACACACAACATTTTAAGACTCTGTTGAAACTGTACCAATATCATAATTATAATGAATGTGAGGCTTCTTGTGGCCAGTTAATAGTTGATGAGATTGGTGATATTATTTATTACCACAGCCTACTGTATAAACTATGCAGAGTTAAATATTATTTGCTTGTAAATTATTAGCCAATGTTGTCATATTTTGATGTATTTCCTTGGTTTTGACCAAAAATATGTTCTTGAAATATTGAAACCAATGTCTGTGTGTTTAAATGTTTACCAGCAAATTGTCTCATCATGTTCATGAGAATGTTTAATGCCTGTGTGGTTCATAGTCAAGTGTAATGGCATAAAAAAGCACCTTTCTCTGAAGGCGATGTGATGTTCGGGCTGTGAAATACACATGTAAAAGAGAAATAAATGTTATTTGTTAGAGTTTTATCTTAGTTCAGTCTGTTTAAATACATTGGTCTGGGATTCTTTGATACTAGCTTTAATGGCAGAGGTCATTTGATAAACAGTTCAGCTGTTAATGATTTTTTCTTTTTCTTTTTTAAAAAGCTATTTGACAGTCCATTCATCTGCACATAGTTACTGCATATCTTACATATCAGAAGTGATTCTAGGAAATGGGGACCCGATCAATGGTAAACCCTCAGTGTGGAGTTCAGGTGAGAACTCATCTCCCGGGATCTTATCCTGACAGATTGAAGGGTTATCGAGTCTAGTGCTGGTTTTGATGCAGCAGCTAAGCTGGGAATAGTGTGTATGTGGAGTGGTGTGGGAAGGAGAAAGGGACGGGCGTCTGGAGACAGAAGGCTCAGCTGTGTGGTGAGTGTGTATGTATAGATTTGACAGAAATTGCAAATATATATATATATACACACACACACACACCGCAATTAGTATGCAGTATCCTGCATATGTTGCATACTGTCTCTCTATAATAAATTGTATTTATTATATTACAATTAAACTGATTTCATTAAGAACCCCCCTCCAAATTTTTTTGCAACTGAAATTCAGACTCTCTTTACAATAGCTGCCGATTGTTTTGAGCTCTTGATCTACAGTAATTTGACACGTACTTTGTGTGTGTGTGTGTGTGTGTAGTTAATAGACTTTATTTTTTATAACAGCTTTAGATATACAAACAACTAAGCCAGTAATACAGTTTCCATTTACTCACCTCACCAGCTCCCCTCACTAACATTTTGCATCCCTGTGGTACATTTGTTACAATTAATTAAACAACATTTATATTATATGCTTCTTATTCTTAAATAAATTCCATAGTTTATATTAAAATTTACTATCACAATTGGACAGCTCTATGGTAGTTATAAGACGCTCTGGTAGTGTAGTGGTTACGAATCGGGCTGCAACCCACAAGGTCAGCAGTTCAAACCCTACCAGCTGTTCCATGGGAAAAAGATGAGGCTTTCTGCTCCCATAAAGATTGACAGCCTCGGAAACCCCGTACAGGGTCACTATGAGTCGGAACTGACTCCACGGCATATAACCACCACCACCATCGTAGTTGTGGTATGTGTCATGGAGTGGGTTCTAACTCATAGTGACCCCATATAAGCTTTCCCAGGCTGTAAGTTTTACAGGAGCAGAAAGCCTCATCTTTCTCCTGCCAAACTGCTGGTAATTTCGAACTGCTGACCATGAGATTAGCGGCCTGATTCATAACCACTACACTACCAGAGCTCCTTGGTGGTGGTAGTTGTGTGCCGTGGAGTCAGTTTCGACTCATAGCGACCCTGTACAGGGTTTCCAAGGCTGTAAATCTTTATGGGAGCAGAAAGCCTCATCTTTCTCCCACGAACAGCTGGTAGTTTTGAACTGCTGGCCTTAAGGTTCGCAGCCCGATTTGTAACCACTACGCTACCAGAACTCCTTAGGTCTAGACAAATGCACTTGTCATGTGTGTACCATTACACCATCATACCGAACAGTTCCACAGATTCGAAGCCCCTGTGTGCTCTCTACCTGGCAACTACTCATCTTTCTGCTTGCTCTATAGTTTTGTCTTTTCTAGAATGTTGTAGAGTTGGACTCGGTATGTAGCTTTTTCAGACTGGCATCTTTCACTTAGAAATAAGCATTTGAAACTCTTCCATATATTTTTGTGGCTTGATATCTCATTTTTTAAAATCACTGAATAACTCTATTATATGGGTATACCATCATTTGTTTATTCCCCTGTTGAAAAACCTCTTGTTTGTGGCCAGATTTTGACAATTTTGAATAAAGCTGATATAAATATTCAGGTGTAGGTTTTTGGGTAGACGTAACTTTTCCACTTGATTAAATAAATGCTTGCTGGATTGTGTGGTAAGACTATGTTTAGGTTTGTGAGAAACTGCCAAATGGTCTTCTAAAGTGGCTGTATCATTTTACATTTATACCAAAATAGATGAGAGTTCCTGTTGTTCCTCATCCTCACTAGCCTTTGGTATTGTCAATGTTTTGGATTTTAGCCATTCTAAAGGTGTGGCGCTATAGGATCAGCACTGCACTGTGAACCACAAGGTCAGCAGTTCAAACCCACCAGCTGTTCCTAATAAACTCTATGCAGGGTCACTATGAGTTGGAACCAACTCCACAGCACTTAACATCAACAACAATAGTTACATAGTGGTAGCTCATTGTTTTTTTAACTGGCAGTTTTCTTAATGTGTTAATTTCAGGTGGTGTGTCAAGATGAATTTTTTTGCATGTGAATGTCCAGTTGTTTCAGCATCATTTGTTTAAAAGATTTTCCTTTCTCCATTGAATTACCTTTGCTCCTTTGTCAAAGATTGTTGCTGTTGTACACTGTTGAGTCAATTCTGACTCATAGCAACCCTGTATGACAGAAGAAAACATCCCCTTAGGGTTTCCTTGGCTGAAATCTTTATGGGAGTAGGATCACCAGATCTTTTCTTTCAGGTGGGGTTTAAACTGCTGACCTTTCAGTTCATAGCCAAGCACTTCAGGATTGTACCATCAGGTCTTTTGTCAAAGACTTTGTGTCTATCCATCTCTGGGCTCTATCTTCTCTTCCACTGACCTGTCTGTTCTTTCACTGGTACCATCCTGTCTTGACTACGGTAAGTCTTGAATTTGGGTAGTGCCAATCCTCTGACCTAGTTAATATTGGCTTCACAGAATCATTTAGGCTAATTCCCTGTGCTTCTATTTCCTCAAAAAGATTGTAGAGAATGGGTATCATTTCTTCCCTAGATATTTGGCATAATTCCTCATTGAAACCACCTGGGCAGGTGCTGTCTTTGTTGGAAGGTTATTAATTATTGATCCAACATTCTTTAACGTAGACCTATTCAGATGATCTATTTGTCTTGGTGTGAGTTTTGGTAGGTTGTGTCTTTCAAGGAATTGGTTCATTTCATTTTCTGTCACTTATCAAATTTATGCATATAGAGTTTTTCTTCTTTGTTGTTTAGATATCATCAAGTAGGTTTGGACTCTCATAGCCACTTTGTGTCCCATAAACTGAAATGCCACCCAGTCCTCTGCCATCCTCAGAACCATTGCTCTGTGTGAGTCCATTGTTGTAGCCCCTGTGTCAGGCCGTCCTTTTATTTTTCACTGACCTTCCACTCTACCAAGCCTGATGTCCTTCTCCAGTGACTGGGCCCTGGATAACATGTTGAAAGTCCACGAGATGAAGACTCACCATTGCTACGAAGGAGAATTCTGACTGTATTTCTTGCTAGACAGATTTGTTTTGTGTTTTGTTTTTTGGCAGTCCATGGTATATTCAGTATTCTTTGCCAACACCTTAATTCAAATGCATCAATTCTTCTTTGGTTTTCCTTAGTCATTATGTAACTTTTGCTTGCATACAAGGCAATTTCAAATACCTTTAAATACCCATGGATTAGTTGGGAGGACCTCTTTCATTTCTGATCACAGTAATTTACATCTTTTCTTTAATTTGCTTTTGTTTCTTTCTTGGTTAGCTGGCAAATGAGTTTGAGATGTTGTCAATGCCAGATTGTTAGACACAAAAGTCAGATTTTACAAGTGGTTGGTTGTTAAATGCCATTGAGTTAGTTATGACTCACAACAATCCTGCGTACGGTTTGCAAGGAATGGCAGTGGGTTTGAACTGCTAACCTTACAGTTAGCAGTCCATTGCTTATCCTATAGCACTACACACTACGGCCATTTCTATGCTCAGTTTTTCAGGCTGATCAAAGCGCGTTACTTTGAGAGAAAATTAGTGGAGAGACATAGATTAATTTCACCAGTATTTTAAATGACAGTGAATAAATATAGGATTGAATGTCTTAAAGTCACATTAAAGGTCCGATTGTGCCATTAAAGGGGCAAGACTACGGTTTTCTCTTTTAGACTTTTCTTTACCTCTTTTTGCTTTGTGATATTTTTTCATTATGAAAGTCATCAGCAATGCATGCTTGGGGCTACCTTGGAACAGACACACTTTCTAGGGAAGGTTGTGAAGCTCGATGAAGGCAACATGTTCTTGCACATATTGTTGTTGTCTTTATGGTTGTTTTTCATTATTTTAGGGGTAACTTTATTGTAAATGTTTTGCATAAACTAAAGGGCCACTTTTTAGTGGTGTAACTGTGTCACCTACTTGACAGATTAGACCAGTAGATAAAGTATGTTGATCCCATGCCCCTCACCATTTCTTTAGCCCCAGATGAAGTCTCATCCACTGTAGGAAGGAACTGTAAAAGTAACAAGTAAAATTTGTTGAGACTCTTAGAATTTTTGGATCATGTTATATACCTTACTCCTGTGGCTATCAAGAAAACTCAAAGGAGGTCATTTAGGACTTACTATTATCTGTAGTTTACAGATGAAACAGAGACTCAGAAGGATTAAGAGATTCACCTAAATCCAATTTAAAAAATTTGTTCTTTTTAGCTCAAAACATTATGTTTTTTTTCAGTTGACTTGCCTAAACTGATAAATGAATACATGTTTATTGCATTTGTTTTATGTATATCCAGTGCTGGTGTGGCACTGTAGAGTAAGCACTGGACCGAAAGGTCGGTTTGAACCTCAACATCAGCAGTTCAAACTCACCAGCCACTCCCCAGAAACTCTATACAGGGTCACTGTGCGTCAGAAACGACTCAGTGGCACTTAACAGCAACAACATACCCAGTTCTAGTTGTATGTTTTTCAGTGTCTAATTGTATGTCACTATGAGTTGGAACCAACTCAACAGCACTTAACAACAGTAACACGTTGTATGTTTTCCATGTTCTCCAAAAGACATGCTCCATATCAGTGATTTCTCGGTATTCAGAAGGATGTGGAAAATTGTAAATTTCCACAGAGAAGCAACCAATAGGATTAAACTACCAGATGTTTTTCAAGTTGCTATTTCATTTAAACATTACACGTAAATTAACAAAAGGTAAAAATAACAGTACACTTGTTTCTATATGTGATTGTGTCAGCGATGATTATTTTATTTGACTGGATTAAAGTTAAACAAAGACATTTACCATTCCCCCCCACCCCCCAATAATCTGGAATTAGAGATTGGAATTTGTGCCTTTTCATGATATAACACACAGGTAATAGCATCAGGATGAAAATTTAAAAGCCTTATCAAGCGTTTCTTGGCATCAGGTAATCAAAATGTGCTCTGTGCAGTTGGAAAACGACACCTGACTCTTCAAGAATCCTAGTGCTTCATTTGACTTTTAACCTCATAACCCTGAAGGTGCCTAACATCAGAACTCCTTATCTAAGCATTTTTGCCACAGCATTTCCCCCTGATCACAACACCTGTGCTTAGTGATACAGTGAGAACATAACTTCACACAGCTTCAATAAAAGACTTTTATCAGTTGAAAGAAAATGCTTTGAAATAGGATCTGGGCACGATTTGAGGGTCGGAGGGATAGTTTTATTTGTTTTCCAGTAGGAAGCTATCTACTTTAGATTAAGGAAGAATATGAGGAGTTATCTGGTTCGATTCTGACATTATCAGAAGTACAGATCCTTGAAAAGTCCTTTAAAACAACTTTGGTTTCTAAGGAGAGTGGAAACTGCTAAATGATTTCTTGACCTAAAAGCACTAGCTTGTATTTATTTTCCAAGTGAACCCAAGACTCCTTTCTTTTCCTTTAAAAACCAAGTACTGTTTGCAGGAAAACAATGAATAAAATCTTAATTTCTTTTTTTCTGTAAATACAGATTTTCAACCAGATTATAAAATTACCTGCTGCCATTAAGCCCTGGTCTCACTCAGCTGTCCTCTGTTATTGTCCTTCATTGCTGTTGAGTCTCCTTAGACTCATGGGACCCCATGTATACAGAGAAGAACTATGTTCCATAGGGGTTTTCAAGGCTGTGACCTTTCAGAAGCATATCACTAGGCCTGTGTTTCAAGGTACTTCTGGGTAGGTTCAAACCACCAGCTTTTCAGCTAGTAGTCAAGTGCTTAACAATTTATGCTACCTAGGGATTTCATTCATATGACTCTACTATAGCAGAAAAAAAAATAAATAATAAGTTCCACTAAAAGGAATATTTGCTAATTCAGTAATTAACCTCTTTTGGTTGCTACCATATTTACAATTGTTGTTAAGTGCCTTTAAGTCAGTTCTGACTCAAAGAGACCCTGTATAGGGTTTCCGAGGCCTGAAATCTTTACAGGAGAAGAAAGCCTCATCTTTCTCCCTTATGTACAATTAGTATTGCATATAGTACTACTACAACTATTACTATAAAATTATATGTGTATCCAAGTCTCCTGTGTCCATAAACAGCACATACATATTTAAACTCTTTAAAAGAAACCTAACATTTATTAGGCACATTGATCTTGAGCATTCATTAGACACATGGATCAGATTTCAAAACAGGAGTCTAAAAAGTATTTTTTTAAAGCTATGATAACATGGTATAACCAATCCAATTAAGGAGGGGGGATCAAGTATCCATTAGCCTGAGAACATAAGAAACAAAGTCACTTGAATAGTTTTTCTATTAACCATTCCTGAATATTTTCAGAGGTTAAAGAGATTTAAATATTTAAATCTGTACATCTACTTTGAAAATGTTTGTGTTTATCAGATGTGAGACCAAGACTCAGGAGCAATGACAGTGGGTTTGAGCCCAGTGATAGTTTCTGGAAGCTCTCCCCCAACATACATGTATCTGGTGAGAGCAAACTGACTGGAAAAGCTTTCCCTAGGATTTTCCCTTGACTGGGTAGGACCCAGTCATGTTTGTCCAGCTTAACCTCCTCTTGGTGGCCCTATATGGAATCAGTTCTGGGGTGTAGGATGTTCGAGGAATTGAGTTAACAAAAAATATTCAAGGACTTGTAAAGAACTAGTTAAATTGAAGTCACTCTTAGCACGCAAGGGGACATCACATCCTTTAAAACTATGTTAGGCAAAGAATAGCTCAGTAACTGATTTTGTTGAGGGCAACAAAGTTTTATGCTGGTCTCATCCTTCTCCTCTACCAAACACTCAAACTGTATAAAATGATGCTTTTAGTCTGATAAAAGGAAAACAAACCTACACTAAACAGGCTCTGGTAAATAAGCCCTGTACAGAATCAGGATCATTTTATATCCAGGTCAAGGGCTGCAAACTGTTTCTGAAAGGAACCAGAAAATAAATATTTTAGGTTTTTGGTGGCCCATATAATCTCAGTTGCAGCTACTCAGCGCTGCCCTTGTACAAAAGTCGTCCTGAACTGTAGTTTAGTGCATAAACTATAGTCCTTCAATAAATGTGACTGTGTTCCCATAGAACGATCTTTATTACAAACAGGTAGTGGGCCGGTGCCGGCCCATGGGCCATAATTGGCAAACCCCTGTTGTAGAGAGTAAGCACAAATGGTGCCTCTCTTCAAGATGCAAAGTGCATCCTCTGGTTCTTAGCCAGGGTAATGCTCACTCACACGTCATTAGTTCTTCAGTTCAGAGGCATGGTACAAACTGTCAATGTGACTTGAGTAATTCAAATGAACCTGGAAGGGCCTGATTCTGTTTCATTTAGAAACCAGAGCAGGCAGCTGTTTCTAGTGTTTGCTAACTTGGAGCTGAGGCTAATAGCCATTCCGGTGCTGCAGTGGGAGGTGCAGGTGCAGAAAAAAGTAGTAAATTATCAATAATAATAGTATCTTAGGACCCTTAACGGGTCAATGCAACAAACCAATGTAAGTCATTACTGAGGAATTCATTGCTTAAACAACCAGGCTTTGCATGTGACTAAAACACAAAAGATCCAGATGCATAAAAGTTGTGAGAGTGGAGACAGCCCAGAACCACAGAAGTACCTACAGGTAGAGGAAATTTTACCCATCATCTCAGCCAGCCTGTTCCTGTTAGCAGTGGGGAATGTGAGGCGCAAAGAGGGAGAAGTGACTTGCCAGCTGGTTTGTGGAGGAATCATCAGACCTCAGTCATTTCAACATGCAGCCTATTCCTCACTTCCACTAAGGAATCTGAATTTAAAGTGGGTCCACTGGCCATAAGATGATATTCCAAGTACCTGCCTAACACACATTTTTCTGCTGGGACAGAAATGGTCCCAGAAAACATCTGAAATTTATGAAGGGGAACAGCATCACATCATTGGTGTAACGTAGCTGACAAAAACTGCACAGGATAAAGCATTAAATGGCCGTCTTCCCAAGAATATAAATGCTGGTCTCTCATACTGTATGATAACATGGCAAGAACAAACTGGGAAGTTCTTAAGTCGAAGTTTGCATTGATCTGCTTCCCTCCTAACAAATCAAAGGCGAACGTGACACTCATATCTTTGGTGTCTGTGACATAGAGGATCCCCCGGGCAATGAATGCATTGCCAGCCTTGGATTTGGGGTACGTGGTATTGATGTGTTGCATCACGGAGAATGTCCTTTCATCCAGCTGTGCTACAAGGATGCTCGAGCCATCCACACTCGAAGCATAGATAATCCAAAGACCCTTTTCATCTACGGCTAAATTGAAGTAAGTCTTGGAGTTTGCAAAGAGGTACTTTCTATCAAAATACAAAGCATTTTCAATCTTCAGAGTTTCGTATATTTCTTTACCAAATTCAAATCTGAAAAAATAAATAGATATGAGTCACTATTTTTATGAACAAAAATGGTTTGTTAGATTTCTCCGTTTAACTCATGACCATGCAAAAAGAACTCTGAATCTTTCAAGTGAACTTTATATTTAAAAAAAAGTGCAGTTGCTACTTGGGAGATCTTACAGGTGTCTGAAACAATATTCTTGGTTGAGTCTTCATAGAAGAAAACTTGCTGAAACTATTCGACTGTCATTGAAGAGTTAGAATTGAATTTCTAAGGCAACAAGTTTGATTCTGCAACTTTGGTGCCATTTTGAGCAAAGGCTTAAAGGCAAGAAATCCAAAAAACATGGTGGATTTAGTACGGCCACCATGCCACTCAAAGCAGGCCTGTTTCTCTGTCTGCCCCTAGAGAGACAATTGTAGTGTATGAGTCCCTTACAAAATAGAACTATTGCAGCTATGTAATGGGCAGTGAGCTGCCAGAAGTAACTATAAAACTGGACAAAATATAAAACTGTTTTCACACATTGGTTGACAGTGCAAGGCTCCGGTCATAAGAGAAAAGATTCACATGAGTGAGTTCCAGAATCACTCTTCCTGTATGGGGGCACTGTCAAATCACAGCACTACTGAAAATTTGATCCTCAATATGGAGGGATGGGAGTCCTGGTGTGGCGCTATAGGATAGTCAGTTTGAACCTCAAAGTCAGTGGTTCAAATTCACCAGCCACTCCTCTGAAACCCTATTTAGGGTTGCTATAAGTCGGAACTGATTCGACAGCACTTACCAACAACAATATAGAACAGCAGCCTTACTAGATGGAAGAAACGGATTGAATATTGGGCTACTAAGGTAATTAAAATTTGTGAAAATTTTAGAGTTTGAAGAAGAGGTGGCTGCATGGAGAAAGCTCTGTATCTCTCCACAAGGCCCCCTTAACTGTTTGTCTGCACATTAAGCTGCATATGTACAGTGAAACTCAGACATGCCTAATAGAGAAACTGCTGGGGGACTGAGAGCTGACTTGAGGTGGTAAGAGATGTTGGAGTTCTCACCAGTGAGCAGAGAGTGACCTCACTCAATACCCTTGGCATTCATTTGAGACCCCACATAGACCATACCTTATGGGTAAATTACTCTAGACCTATCCTAACAAAGGTTGAAAAAGACTTCCTAGTTAAAGGAGGGCAACAAAATCCAACCTATCCAATGTGTTGCATCACTAAGGCCAGCTCACCATACAAAATTACGAGACATAAGAAGGAACAGAAAGTAACATGCATATTCAGAAGGTAGAACATTCAGTATACACACACCCAGAGATGACCCTGGACTTGTCCAACAAAGATTTTAAAGCAATTATAAATACATTCATATAAATATAAATAATTTAAAGGAAGGGATTGCTATAATCAAAGAAGTACAAACTATAAAAAAGAGCCGAATATAAATTCTTGAACTAAAAAGTATACTACCTGAAATTAAAAAAAATTAACTGGAAAAGTTTACAAAAGAAGGATCAAAAATCTTGAAGATGAACAATATAAACTGACTTGAAGACATTATCAAACAGTCTAAGGAGTCCTGGTGTGGTACTATGGACGAGCATTGGGCTGCAAGGTCAGTTTGAACCACTAGATCTCAGTTCAAACTTAATAACTGCTCCTCAGAAATCTTCTGTACAGGGTTGCTATGAGTCAGAACTAATTTGATGGCACTTAACAATGTATGTATTTTTGAGTCCTAGAAAGAATGGAGAAAGGTTGGCTAAAACAAAAATATTTAAAGACATGTAGCTGTTGAGTTGGTTCCAACGCATAGCGACCTTGTGTAGGGTTCCCAAGGAGCAACTAGTAGGTTTGAAACAAAGACCTTATGGTTAGCAGTCCAGTGCTTATCCTACCTCACCACACCAGGACTCCAAAAAATGTTCAATTTGTGGGTAAATATACTTCCTTTTTCCTATCTTCATTTCTTTAAAAGACAACCATTGAAATAAAACAGAGCTTCTGAAACTTTGATGTACATATAAGATCTTATGAAAATGCAGATTCGGATGTAGTAAGGCTGGAGGGGGCCTGGGATTAGGCATGTCTACCAAGCTCCTAGGTGATGTCTGTTCTGCTGGTCCATCAATAATGCTCTGAGCAGAAAGGATATAAAGAATTGTTGTTATGTGTTGTTGAGTTGGTTCAGACTCATAGCGACCCTGTATAGGGTTTCCAAGAAGCTGCCGGTGAATTTGAACTGCCAACCTTGTGGTTCAAACTGACCTTTTGGTTTAGTGCATTATCCGACAGTGCTACACCTAGCTCATGTTAAATTGTTAAGAACAAGAAGAAACAGAGGCAGTAGTTAATAGTGGTGTGAAAGAGAATACTGTGGAGGCAGAATAAATTCACATCTAAGTGTCCCCATTTATTAATTGCATAACTCCATGAGAATGACCTCACTGATACTCAAGTGATTGGTGACTGCCTGAAATCCCTTCTCAATGATTCTCAGAGCTGCATGTAGCCTTTTAAAATCATCTAATTAAAGCCTTTCATTTGACAAAGGAAAAGGAAAGTGACTTGTTCACAAATATTAGTAAGTGACAGAACCAGAGTTTGAAATTAAGTCTTCAAATTCCACATTTTCTTTTCTTTCCCCCTCTACTCCATGCTGGAATGTAAAGAAAAAAAAAAAAAAAAAGTCTAGCATTCTAAATTAAGAAAAAGGCTGCCATTTGAGAAGAGGTGGAGCAGAGGCAGCAAAGTCACGGCTGTGAAGTTAATGTTCTTGTCATTGGCTGCATAAATTACCTGTGGCATGCAATCTCATACTCTAGCTCCTGGAGGTTGCTTGATTTGGCAAACTCCGAATTATGACTCAAAAGATACATGGGAATGAAAATTCTGGAACACTAGACTAAGCACAATTCAAACCCACCAGCAGCTCCTCGGAAACCATATACAGGGTCACTATGAGTCAGACCCGACTCAATGACACATAACAACAGACTAAGAGAAAAGACACACCAGGGGGTGCCATTGAGCAGCAAAAGAAATGTGAAATGTGTGACTCTGTAGCTATGAATTTTGAGCATAAGAAACTTGAAGCCAATTAAGAAATTGTGAAGTAAGTTTAAAAAGAGTGAGGGGTTGGAAACACCTGACCTGCCCATCTCAGTTCATAGGGATTCTTTCTGAATGCCCAGAATGGAGTCCTGGTGTAGCGCTGTGGGTTAATGCTCTGGACTGCAAAGTCAGTTTGAATCACAAGGTTGGCAGTTCAAGCTCACCAGTTGTTCCTCACAAACCCTATACAGGGTTGCTATGAGTCGGAAATGACTTGACAACATGGAGTCCTGGTGTGGCACTGTGGGTAAGTACTGGACCACAAGGTCAGGTTGAACTGTAAGGGTGGTGGTTTAATGTCACTAGCTGTTCCTCAGAAACCCTATGCAGGTTTGCTATGTGTTTGAACCGACTCAAAGACACTTAACAATAACAACAATTTGAACCTGGTGTGGCCTTGTAGGATAAGCACTGGACTATGAACCAACCACGGGTTGGTGGTTCAAACCCACCCTATACAGACTCTCTCTGAGTCAAAACTAACTCAATGGCACTTAACAACATTTGAACCTTAAGGAACACTGGTGGCACAATGGGTTATGGATTGGACTGCTAACCAAAAGGTCATCAGTTCAAATCCACCAGCTGCTTCACAAGAGAAAGATGAGAGTTTCTGGTGCTGTAATGACTTGCAGTCTCTCATAGCTACACTACACAGGGTAGCTATGAATTGGAACTGGCTCAATGATACGCAATACCATTTGGCCCTGGAGCAGTCCTGGCACTCTTTGATGAGAACAGTAGCTGCTCTCCTGGATGAAGCTTGTCCTTCCCAGCACGAACAAGGTCTAGTCTGGGTCTGCCTTGTTCTCAGCTCCTGTGGCCTGTGGCCTGCCATACATCAGGGGCTCAATATGGGCTTTCTTACCAGGGCGCCACACAAACTTGTCTTCACACAGAAACACCCTTTCTTAAAACAGCCCATCTTCATTCTGGAGTTCATTCACCCCAGCTTTTCCCTGTCATCCTCCCACCCCCATGCCGCAATGGCCTTAAATAACATAACAGCAGAATGTCACAAAATCATAGGAGAAAACTCACAGGGACATGTTATGGGAATGATGACTTCTAAACAGGTACAGGAGGTGGGTCAGCTGTCCTTTTCTCCTAGCACAAGACTCTGCCCCAACAGGATGGTGGGGGAGATGGAAAGAGGATGGTGGAGTAGAGAAAGGAGAGAGGCAAAGGACACAAGTGACACCTGTGTCTGTCTAGTGATGTTGATGGACTTGCACATCACACTAGGAAACTTGCCCACCCTACCCTAAGCAGTCAAATGCTAAAGAGGAACCTATGGTTGGACTTCACTAAGGGCGAAGGGAGAATAAAAAAGAGAGAAGGGACGCAATCCTCCCTAAGGTCAGTGTCTTCTGATTTCAACGAGGTGTCCAGCTGGAGGGACTCAGAGGCTGTAGTCCATCTGTTTGTTATTTAGTTGAGGACATGGAAGTCCCAGAAGGTGTGGCCCTTGTCCAAGGCCACAGAGTGAGTTGGTGGAGGAGTAGGAACCAGAATTAACCAGAGTTCTGACTCTCAGTTCATTGTTCTCTTGCCTACCCTTTCCGTCTTCCTTCCCCTACCACACACATGCAAGCACTAAATTGATTTGCCCAAGATGATGTGCTCTGCTTCTACAATGCAGAGCCTGATTTCTTGAGCCATAAAAACAGAACTTCAGCAATTCTTGTGGGCAGTCAGGCAGCTTGACTACTCACTAGGCAGTCTACCTGGGGAAGGCAGAGAGTTAGAAGGAGTGTTGGCCCAGCTGGGGCTCCATCTGGAAACAGATCACTCTGAAAGCAGAGATGCCTGATGTTGGATTGCAATCCCTAGTCTTCAGTCGTCCCAGTTGTGACGGAATTCGACACACCCAAAGTTTTTCAGAACAAAACTGATCTCAGAGAACAATATTTTCCCGCTAGGGGAAGTTCTGGGGTCTGGCAAATTCCTTTCTCAAAGGTTGAAAAAGATACATCTTATTACCTCTCCAAAACTGCTTCTGCCTGTCTGTGACCATTTACTCTGAGTCCACCAGCAGCAATCAATGACCCCCTGGCGTGGCTGAGATATGGAGTTCACTCACCTTGTCTCAGGACTCATTTGGTCAACAAACCCTGCTTGACAGGTTTCTGTGTGCCAAGTCCTGGCGATATAAAGATGATGAAAACACAGTCCCTGCCCCCTAAGTAGCTCACAGGAGGCACAGTATGGTCCAGAGTGACTCACCTCACTATAGTGTTGTAGCCTGCTTTGTGGTAATAGAGAGAGTTGTTATAAACAGCATGCCCACAACCTTGGAAGTAATGTGGAAGTTGGATGGACTTGTAACTGTTATTCAAAAGTGAGGGCCAGTCTTTGAATTCCTTCACCAAGATGCCTGTAGGAGGGAAAGACAGGAAAAGGTGTTAGCTACCACCCAGCACTCACAGCCTGGGAATAAGTCCTGGGGAGGAACTTAAAAAAGGTAGGCAGTTTAAAGTGAGATGTCCTCTGTAGGTCTGACTCATAAACTCAAAATCTGTGTCACCCCGCTTCCCCACCTTCACTCTCCATTGTTTCCTACCAGATCGACACAGGCCGACACAGGGACAGCAAATACTTGGTACTGGTGCTGTGTGTCACCTGCTGCCACCCCCTGCACTTCATGGCAACCACTGTTAACTCACAATCTCGCTTCTTCCCATTTGAGCCTCAAAATCCTTCTCAGCCAGTACTCAGAGCAGATACTACCAGCTGATCGGAATTAGCCTTGGCGTAATGAAAAAGCACATCCAGTAAGTATTGCCAGGCCCCTTCTGGAATAAGCCCTGTGTTGCTATTACCGACAATTCTTGACCACATGACTAGGGTCATGCTTAGAGGCAGGGTGACTGCAGAATGGCACTGGACCTTCCTTCCCTGGGGTCTCCATCCAACGCTGAGAAGGATGGCTAAAAGTCTCCTGAGAGATGGAGAGTGTACAAAGAAATTGTCTCAGACATTTTGCCCACATTTTGGCTCTGGGGTTCATCAGAACTGCAGTCATACTGTTATTTGTTTCCTTATGGATACTTTGTCTAAAACCTAATAGATGCACTGCAGGCACGCTGGTCATGCCCCTGTGATCTCAACTGCAAAGCTTCCTACAAGAGTCTTCAACGAAGGAAAGTAGGATGCCTATACACTTATGCTTTCTAAAACAAGGAACGATTCTGTTTAATCAACTAGCAGGGATTGTAGACCCCTCCAAAATAGAATCAGCCTGAAGGTACACAACAAATGAAAAATACAGCAGATAGAGGTCGCCAGTCAAGTGGCATTACCTGAAAAGTGTTTGATCACCCAAATCCGTTCGTCACTTTTGTTAGCAGCTTCCCTTATCCAGGTCCCAAATGTCTCCTTAACTTTAAATACTTGAGTTGCGTTTCCAATGGAAGTGATCATAGATCCTGCCAAGAAGGAGAAAGCAAGGCCACTCACCTGCTACTTCTGACTTTAAGGAATCTGATTCCTGAATTTCAAAATGGTGCTTTGTTTCCATACCTGCTTGTGGGTAATGGTGCTCGCTGACTTTCTCATCAGCTTTTCCAACTAAAGTGTCATCATTTGGTACAGCACATGTCTCACCTAAAACCACGACAGGAATAATAAACAGAGCAAATACAGCTGACACCGTGAAATATGAGCAACTTTTTACCTGGTGCTGTCCCCACCTCATTGCAGACTCCAACTCCCTAGCACCGCTCTGACTAGGCCCACCAGGGTTCCTGGGGCTTGTTAACAAGCAACATCAAGTCATAGGCTTCCCATGTTCCCTCCTGCTTGCTGTGTTCCCAAGAAGCTCTCCGTGACCCCAGTTCCTAGAACACAATCCCAGGAGGATGCCAGTAAAAAGGGAAACATGACCTGTCCCCCACCTTCCCATTCAAGCCCTCAGCAACTTTGGGGAGAGGCAGGCCAATTGACACCTCTGGCCTCTCTGGGCAGTGTTCTGGAAGAATCTTCACTTTCAGAGAAGCTGATGGGAGTTGCCTCAGAAATGAGGTGGACCTGACAGCCAGGGTCTTCTGTGAGAGGTGCTGAGAAAGGCATCATAGAGCTTTAGAAGAAGAAGGGCCCTGGAGGCAGATGGATCTGGAGGTGTTCAGGTCTAATCATGGCCATTTTCCTGCCTGTCTCTGCTTCACAACCTAGTCCTTGAGGGACTGCTTGATCCAAGGTCAGTTTGAGGCTGCACCTCCCTCCTCTCTTCACTGTAACAAGCCACCCTGGCTTGTCAGTCTCCCCTTTGATGATGTCATTGTTAGGTGCCATTGAGTTGACTCTGACTCATAGCAACCCTATGCACAATACAACGAAACACTGCCCCGTCCTGTGCCATCCTTACAGCTGTTGTTACAGCTGCCACTGTGCCCATCCATCTCATTGGGGGTCTTCCTCTTTGTCACTGACCCTCCACTTTACCAAGCATAATGTCCTTCTCCAGGACTGTTCCCTCCTGTTAACATGCCTGAAGTATGAAAGACAAAGTCTTGTCATCCTGGCTTCTAAGGAGCATTCTGGTTGTACTTCTTCCAACACAGATTGGTTTGTTTCTGGCACTCCATGGTGTTTTCAGGCCTTTGGTGAAGAGGTGCTTCAAAGTGGCAGGAAAAGGGGAGGGCCAAGACCAGTGAGAAGTCTAGAGCAGATGGGGCTGCGGCCAGGGGCTGGGGCAAGCTGGGAGAATCTGGCTTTCTGGGAGTAGGCCCATTTACCTAGACAAATTCTGAGGGGTTCAGATGATCTGGTGATTGCTAGACAAAAAGGATAGCTTTTGTATTGTCACTAGGAAGCTCACAGAATAATCCAAAGGGATTTCTTCATCAGTAAAATCAAAGGCTGAACCCACCATGATCTTTCAGCTTCTTTGCAGCAGTGTGAACGAACTTGTGTTTCTCTGAAGTCCTGTCATCTGATGAGTCTCTGTTACAACCCCCCTATATGCCACCCTGTGACCTCTGGGTTTCCTCTGGACTCTCCTCAGACTCCACACTTAGGGCCTTGGGCTTTGAACAAGAGAGAGACTTAAAAACTCTCCCATTTATATTCGGACAGAAAAGCTTTCATTAATTCCTATTGTACCAATCTGCCTCTGGCTGTGGTGAAAAGAGAGGAGGGGGTTAAAGACATGAAATAGGAGAAAGGGCCAAGTTCAGATGTAAAACGCCTGGCTACTAAGAACCCATTTCTAGTAGACAGAGTAGAAGATAATGGCCTCTCATTTAAAGCAGTTTTCGCAACACAGGGCCTCAACCCGTGCCAACCCAGCCTCTTAGTGGATATGCTGAGCAGAGCAGAGGGCTTCTGCAGGCACCGACTGGCACGGGCTGACAGAGTCTTTGGCAAATCAGAATTCCGCAAAAGCTCAGGTCAGACCCCTCTTCTTTCTGGGGAGTGTCCAAGCTCAGAAAGGGAAGCTACAGGAAGCAGAACAAAGGGCTGATGCTAATGGGGGTGGTGGGGGGTGGTGCTGAACTTGAGGGAAGGAGCAGAGCTGTATGATTTAACATTGTTAGCTGCAGGGCTAGAATTATAATCAGGCTCCCTTTATTGGGGGTGGGTAGCATCTTTGAAAGCACAGATTTACCCACTCTGACAGCCAAGTGCAAGACCGCAAAATGCCTTTCAGAAAGACGAGTGAACTAAATAGAACTAAAGACTGTTTAGGAAAGTGGCAGAGGAATTTGTGAGAGAGAAATTCCAGCTAGGATTCTCTTCTATGTTTGCCAGTGAAGTGAGAGCAGTAAGTTGTACCTCATGGTCTAAGGTGAGTGGATCCTAGGTCACCTCTATTGGGAAGAAGTTTTAGCATCGCCCCAAGAAGTTTTTCTACTAATGTTAGATGCCATGGAGCCAGGTCTAACTCACAGCGCCATGCACAACAGAACCAGACACCATCAGGTCCTGTGCTACCCTCACAATTGTTAGGTTTAAGTGCATTGGTGTCAGTCATTCTCTCTGAGGGCCTTCCTCTTTTGCACTGACCCTCTGCTTGGTACCAAGCATGATGTCCTTCTCCAGGGACTGGCTCTTTCTGACATGTCCAAAGTACAAGAGATGAAGTCTTACCCACCGTTCTCTCTTCTAAGGGATATTATGGCTATACTTCTTCTAAGACAAATTTAAAATTTTTTCTTCTGGCAGCCTATGGAACTTTCAATATTTTCCACTGGCACCATAATGGTGGTGGTGTTTGTTGTTAAGTGCGACCCTGTATATGGTTTCCAAGGAACAGCAGGTGGGTTTGAACCACAAGATTCGCCCACCTTGTGGTTCAAACCAACATTGTGGTCCAGTGCTTATCCTACAGCGCCACACCAGGACTCCACTGTTGTTGTTGTTAGTTGTTCTCCAATTGATTCTGACATGGTAGCTCAGGTGTGCTGAGTAGAACAGTTCCACAGAAGGTTATCAAGGCTGGGACCTTTTGAAAGCACATTGGGAAGCCTGTCTTCCAAGACTCCTCTGGGTGGGTTCAAACTGCCAACCTTTTAATCATCCAGCATTGAACCATTTGTGCAAACCAAAGACTATTTCTACAGCTACAGCCTCACCATCCCAGCCACGAACTGGCCACACACACAAAAACAGTCCTCTTACCCTGCCACAGGTCAGGTATTCCTTGTCCTTGAAGGACTTAGGTGTAGATTACCACCTCTGAAAGGAAAATGCTCGAAGAGTGAGGGCCTTTTGAGTCAGGCAGACCTGGGATTAGAACCCAGCTCTGCCACTCACTAATGAAGTAACCTTAAGCAACTTTCTTAGCTCCTCTGGGTTTTAATTTTCTCTGTGAATTGGAGACAATAATAGAACTTGATAGAGTCCTGGTGTGGTGCTGTAGGATAATTGCTGGACTGCTAATCACAAGGTGGGTGGTTCAAACCCACCAGCTGCTCCTTGGAAGCCCCATACAGGCCAACTGAGTCAGAACCGACTTGAAGGCACTTAACAACAATGATGCGTGTATCTTAGGGTTATTGTGAGGATTAAATGAAATAACCACTTAAAACTGTACCTACTTGTTAGGTGCCATCAAGTCAGTTCCAACTCATAGCAATTCTATATGCACAACAGCATGACACACTACCTGGTCCTGGGCTAGTCTCACAATTGTTATGTTTGAGCCCATTGTTGTTGCCATGGTGTCAGTCCATCTTGTTGAGGGTCTTCCTCTTTTTTTTTTTTTCTTTTTTTACCTACACTCCACTTTACCAAGCATGATGTCCTTCTCCAGGGACTAGTCCCTCCTGACAACATTTCCGAAGTATGAGAGACAAAGTCTCACCATCCTGGCTTCTAAGGAGCAGTCTGGCTTCTCATTCATCAACACTCCAAAATATTGGTGTTGATGGTCCCACCATTTGCTGTCAAAGTCAACTGGGACTCATAGTTACGCCATGTGTGTCAGAGTAGAACCATGCTCTGCAGGGGTCTCAGTGTCTGATTTGTTGGAAGTAGGCCTTTCTTCTGGGACACTTCTAGTTTGACTAGACCCTCCAATTTTTCAACCAGCAATCGAGCACTTTAACCATTTGCCTCACCCAGAGATTCCAGTGGTGATGGTAGGACTGTAGGCAGTATTTGTGAGGAGTTAACAGGTTGGAACTTCCCCATCATCTCACTAAGGATCAGTCAACCCTCCAAAAAGTGCCTTGGTACAAGATGTTTAACAACTTAGCATTAGAGAAGGTGTAGAGACTTGGAGATGGTTGGATTTAGACTAACAGGAGGCACAGTCTGGAGATAAATAAAGAAGGTAACTGCTGGGGGTCATCACGTCGGGACTGACTCCTAGCAACCTTATGCACACAGAGCAATAAACACTGCCCAGTCCTGCGCCGACTTCATGATCATTGCTATGCTTGAGCCCTTTGTTGCTGCCACGGTGACAATCCAACTCATTGGGGGTCTTCCTCTTTTTCACTGACCTTTCACTTGACTGAACATAATGTCCTTCTCCAGGGACTCATCCCTCCTGATAATGTGTCCAAAGTATAAGAGACAAAGCCTCACCATCCTGGCTTCTAAGGAGCATTCTGGCTGTACTTGTTCCAAGACAGATCGGTCTGTTCTTTTGGCAGTCCATGGTACTTCTAATATTCTCCTCGAATGCCATAACTCAAATGCATCAATTCTGCTACAATCTTCCTTATTCACTGTCCGACTTTCACATGCATATGAGCCTACAGAATATACCATGGTTTGGTTCAAGTGCACTTTAGTCCTCAAATTGATATCTTTGCTCTTGAATGCTTTAAAGTGGTCTTGTGCAACAGATTTGCCTAATGCAGTACATCATTTGGTTTCTTCATTGCTGCTTCCATGAGTGTTGATGGTTGATCCAAGCAAAATGAAGTCTTTGACAACTTCAATCTTGTCTCCACGTATCTTGATGTTATTTATTGGTCCAATGATGAGGATTTTCACTTTCATTACATTGAGGTGCAAAGAGGGATAAGAAAATGAAGTGGGAGCCCAATCCTTATCTCTGTAGGTTTCTCTGGCCTCCCATGAGCATGTTGCAAGGGAAACTCTCCCTTTGGACAAAATATTTTCCCTTTGTTTTAAAAAAACTTGTTTACAAGTCTGGGGTGTAGCCCATGAGTTGGGGACCACAGTGACAGGGGCGAGTTCCCTGGGACAGGGGTTAGTGACCTGTGCACTGGCCGTTAGACATGGGTGGCTGCCGCTGGCCCTTGGCTCTTCTGCTTCCAGGTGGTCCTGGAGGACCTGGAGGCCCCTGTGGTCCAGGTGGGCCTTGGTCACCTTTGGCACCTGGATTAAGAAAGAGAGACATTGATTGATCAAAGGACCATAAACAGAGATTGGGTTTCACACAAGGAAAGGGGATAAAAGAACCGCTCTAGAGGGTCTTCCCAGAGGTTAACTATACACAAGTTGAGAAAACCCACAAGAGGTGCTGAGTACCAAATATGTGCCAGGAACTATGCTAAGAACTTTACAGCCTCCTCACCATCATTCTTCCTAAGCGCTCTGGAGGGCAGTGTTATTACCCTCAGTGAACTGAGTCCTAGAGAAGTTAAGGGCTTTGTCCTACATCACAACTTGAATAGAGCTGGAACTCAACCTCAGGTGAGTCTCAGGCCAAAGACGATCCATTTTACATTGGCCAGTGTCAGTGGATGTCAACCCTGGCTGTACATTAGACTCACTTAAGGACCTTTGATAACATTCTAACACTAGGTTCCACTCCAAACCAATCAGAATATTTAGGGTGTCAGGTTGGACACCTGCATTTTTTATGCAGCCAGGTATGAGAAATACTGCTTTACTTGCACTTGGTAGAAGAAAAAATCTTTAATGAGAAGTTAGGAGCTCCTTTAAGTTCTGGTTCTATTCAGCATTATGATCTTGGGCAGGGAACTTAACCCTTCTGAGCCTCTGTTTTCTCATCTCCAGTGTGAGTCTTGCAATCCCTGCCCTGGCCTGCCCTGGGTGCCTCCAATGAGTTTACTGCTATGAATGCTTCAAAGCTGTAATCCTACACACCTGCAGGCAGCCACGCCTCTAACTTCAGGTGGCTCATGTGACTCATTTGCCCTGTAAATGGGCAGTTGGTTCTGGACCTTCCATTTACAGATATTACTGGACTGGGCTGTTTAGTCCTTTGATTCTACCCTCTTGTTTTGAGCTAAGACTAGTGTTGTTGTTGTTAAGTGTCATCGAGTCAATTCCGACCCTTAGTGACCCTGTATAGGGTTTCTGAGGAGCAGCTGGTGAGCTTGAACCACCGACCTTGCAGTTCAAATGACTTTACAGTCTGACGCATTAACCCACAGTGCCACACCAGGACTAGTGATCTGAGGCCAATTTAGCTGCCTGTATCTACCCAGACCAAATAAGCCCTTTCAGTCTACAGTGAGCAGTAGGGGACATATGGGGCAGAGGTCTGTTGACTGAGCAGACAAGAGTCAACCTTTCCACAACTGCTCCTCTTTCTGCCCAGTGAACACACTCAATTCTGGTTTGGGGGACACTCAAGGATGGTGCTTTTCTGAATGGTTTGTTATCACTCCCAGTTTGGTCAAAAGAATAGGGGAATGTGGTATTCTGGAGATGCCCATTTCCCATAGACCTGAAGTACAACATAGCCTCACATTTTCAAAGTATGCTGATGTCAAAACACATTTAAATTTTATGTGTTTTGCATAGCAACTTTCCCTGCTTATGAAACAAACCATACTCAACAGAATTGAATCGTTCCTTGATTAAATACAATTTGTCAGGTACTTTTAACACAGTGCCTGACAAATTGTAGGTAATATATAAATGCTGCATGGATGGGTAGATAATTGGATGGATGAGTTATTCAGGATCATTATTCTACATATTATCATTCTAACTTCTTGAGGACAGATAATCATATCTTATTCATTTTCATATTCCCAGACTCATAAAAGGTATTCTCTGTATTCAGTAATGCTTCTTGAATATGTTAATATGATAGTTAGGTTCTTATGACATCAAGTGTCTGCTAAGTACCATGCTTTTAAAGCTCTTCTCTTCTCCCTCATTACAATCAGCTCTCTCCCACCCTTTCCATCCTATGATTTCTGTGTAGAACTAGCTGTCGCTTAGCTCCATCCCCCTCAAAACAAACAAACAAAACAAAACCAATCCCACCACACTGGAGTCAATTCGGACTCATAGCAACCTTGTAGGGCAGAGTGGAACTGTCCCATAGGATTTCCAAGGCTATCAATCTTTTCCAGAAGTAGACTAGCCGCATCTTCCTCCCACAGAGTGACCAGTAGGTTCCAACTGCTCATATTTGGGTTCAGAGCTGAGTACTTTAACCACTGCATCACCAGGTCTCCTCCTTCCCTCAGAGGTACCAAATATTTGCTTTTAACCTAGGCTAGACTCAGGAAAGGAAAATCAGTAACCAAGTTTTACCTCTAACTTTATGTCAAAAGCTTAGGATAAAGGTCCAAGAATGACTCTGCCTCTACACCGAAGAAAATGCATGTGCGTTTCTGCTAGTTATTCTCTATGAGATACCTTAAATTGCTTACTTGTCTTGTTTCAGATTGTGCTGCATTTAAATAAATATTTGGAAAAAGAAGCTGCCATCATCCTATTTCAACCCAAACTTCCCTTTAGACCTGAATTTGGTCTTGCCCACACCAGAGTAACATGCAGTTTCCTTCTTTTTTGAAAGCACAGAGCATGCTGCAAAACAGATGACCGCAAAAAGCAAACAAAGAGAGAGGAGCTAGAGAGAAGAGCTACTGCAGCTCTAGGCCCATATGCCTCAGGGAGCCAGTAAACGGTGGCTTACCTGTGAGGAGCACATCATTGGACACATCCCCTTTGTCTCCCTTCTCACCCTTCTGTCCTGGTGGGCCCTGGTTTCCGGTCACGCCCAGTTCACCAGGGTCTCCCTTTTCTCCTTTTTCCCCTGGAATTCCTGTGGCTCCAGGTAGTCCTGAGAATAAATAGCATATTATTTTCTGGTGCAAGAAATGCTGGAGAAAACGAATACCATACTTTTTACTTTTGATATAAAGCCGCCTTAAGAATCAAACATGTCCATCCTTAAAGAATTTCTGATGCTCTCTGCTGGCTTATTTTTAGAGAAATTTGGCTGGACCAACAGGTAGGAAAGAGGACCGAACCACAGGCGATTATAGCCACAGCAGAAAGCAAGTGAGACCTAGAGGAGGGCCTGTCACCTGCATCATCCAGCACACTGGGGTGGTCCCCCTGAGCTGTTATCCTCACTCTCACTGTAAAAAAAAAACTGGTCAAGATCTCTGCTCACTGTATAATTCTCAGAGTTTACACAGGGAATAGTTCTCATCCCCATCAGTTAGTCTGGAAGACTCACAAAAGAATAGAATTTGGGGTGGAGCCATCAGAAAGTTTATCTTGGTAAAAAAAAAACAACAACAAAAAAAACACAAAAAACACAAAAACGCTTCTGTTGCGTTGACTCTCATTCATGGTGGCCCCTTTTGTGCCAGAGTAACACTGTGCTCCACGGGGTTTTCAGTGACTGATTTTGGGGAAGTAGCTCACCAGATCTTTATTTCAAGGTGCCTCTGGCTGGACTTGAACCACCAACCTGTTGGTTAGTAGTCAAGAATGATAACTGTGTGCACCACCCAGGTATTCTCTTGTCTTTGTCCAAAACAACAAAAAACAAAACCCCAGTTCACAGCTGTAGTTGACTCCGACATAATAGTGATTCTATAGGAAAAGCAGAACTTCCCCATAGGGTTTCCAAGGCTGTAAATCTTTATGGAAACACATCTTTCTCCTGCAGAGTACCTGGTGGGTTCAAACCACTAACCTTTCAGTTGGCAGCTGAGTGCTTAACCACTGTGCCACCCGGGCTCCTCTTTGTCATGGGGCTAACTTACCCTGAGAATAAAGGGTATGTGGAAGCTTCAAAAACTTCAGAAGGAGCCAACAGACCTACAAGTGACTCAGCATTTAGCTCTTGTCAGAATATGGTCCAAAATTCAAACCATTGCATCAATGAACTTCATCATATTAACAAATTCTGTAAGAATAATCCTATGGCCATCTCAATGGATGAAGAAAAGGCATTTGATATAGTTCAGCACTCATGCATAACAATTTTCATCAAACTAGTAATAGAAGGGAACTTCCTAAATCTGAAAAAGAGAATTTACAAAAACTTATAGTTAACACCACACTTAGTAGTGAAAGACTAAATGCTTTCCCTCTAACATCAGGAAGAGGCAAGAATGTCTGCTCACTTTTTATTTAACACTGCTGGATATTTTAATCAATGCAATAGACAAGGAAAGAAGATTCAAAAGGCATACAGACTGGGAAGGAAAAACTAAACTTCATTTGTAGACGTGATTGTTGACCAATCCTAATTCTCTAATGTCATCATTCTGACCTTGCAAATATCTTCCCTCCTGATTTAAAATTACATCTGGGCCTTCTCCTTCCTCCCCTCAACCTCAGTCACAAAGGATATTCAAGTATAATAGAGAATCCAATTGCAAGACACTTTGGTCATTTAGATCAACCTCCTATCCAATCACCAAAGCCTTTTGATTTTACTTGGTTGGCTCTTCTTAGGCTCCGTCATTGATGGGAGATCATCACTACATCACATCACAGATTGAACTTGAATACTCCACACTGCCATCAAAGGCAGTTTTCCCCTAAAACATAAAGTTAGAGCTCTTCACATCTCTCATTTACCCCAGAGGAATGGTAAATCTCCAAAGTGGTTTGTGTTCTCCTATATTCAATGGTAACATCAAAGACTACAGTCTTCAGTAAGGATTGCACTTCAATGTAAAGAAATGAAAATCTTCACAACTGGATCAATAAATAACATCATGATAAATGGAGAAAAAAATTGAAGTTGTCCGAGACTTCAATTTGCTTGGATCTACAATCAATGCTAATGGAAGTAACAGTCAAGAAATCAAATGATGTATTGCATTAACCAAGTCCGCTGACAAAAACAGCTCTTTAATGTGCTCAAGAGCGAGAAGGTCAGTTTGAGGACTAAGGTGCACCTGACCCAATCCATGGTATTTTTAATTGTCTCCTATGCATATATAAGGTCTCTATAAGTTCACACCTACTCGATGGCACCTAACAACAACAACAATGCATGTGAAAGTTGGGCAATGAACAAAGAAGACAACAGAATCATATATTTGGTTATGGTGTTGGAGAAGAATATTAAAAGTACATAAAAACACTCCAGTATCTAAGTGAGGAGACCTGGTGTGGCACTGTGGGTTAATGCACTAGACCATACAAGGTCAGAGGTTCAAACTCACCAGTCACTCCTCAAAAACCCTAAACAGGGTTGCTATGAGTCGGGAACTGACTTGATGACACTTAACAACAACAACATCTAAGTGAAGGACTCCTGGTGTGGCACTGTAGGATCAGCACTGGACTGAAAACCACAAGGTCTGTAGTTCAAGCCCACCAGATGCTCCCTGGAAGCCCTATCTATACAAGGCCACTATGAGTTGGAATCAACTGGGCATCATTTAACAACAAAAAATCTAAGTGAAACCATCACTTGTCTGTCAGAATGCTCCTTAGCAGCCAGAATGATGAGACTTCATCTCACATACTTCAGACATATTAACAGGAGGGAGCAGTCCCTGGAGAAGGACATCATGCTTGGTAAAGTGGAGGGTCAGTGACAAAGAGCAAAACCCCCAATGAGATGGCTTGGCACAGTGGCAGCAGCAGTGGGCTCAAACATACCAATGGTTGTGAGGATGGCTCAGGACCGGGCATTTCATTCTTTTGTTTATAATGTTGCTCTGAGTTGGAACCAACTTGATGGCACCTAACAACAACAATGCAATGAAAACCATTGGAAACCAGCTATAGCTGAGAGTCAGAAATCCCGGGTTCCTTGACTTTATCAATGGTTACCTCAGGCAAGCCTTGTACACTGCCTGAGGAGCTGGGGATAGAGTGGAGGAGAATGTGGAGAAGAACAGGGGAAACCTCTCTATTGTCAGCAAATGGCTCTGCTGTGGATTTACCGCAATCATGCCTCTCAGGTCAGGGATTCATCGCTCACAATGCATCTCTCCCTCCTGCACTGAAAAGCTATCACTTTGGGTCATCTCCACCTACAGGTCACCAGGACATCATGCTGGAAAGTGGTCCACTTACTCGGGGACCTCTGCATGGGCAGACGTTCTTTTGTCAGTATTTTCAATAGACAATTTGACACATTATCTGGCGGAGACAAAAGACAAGCATGTTGCCATAGAGTCCAGCCAGCCCAACGCACCAAGTATAAGTGATACCTTCTAAAGGTCTCACGTGACCCAGATTTAGCAGTGCTCAGGGAAATGGTATCCGCTAGTTACTCCCGGGTTTTCTTTTAAGGCATTTATTCCTGTCACAAAGAGCCTTTCTGCATCATCATCCAATTTCCCCTTCCTTTTATTCCTTCCTCTTAGGCCTCTCATTTTCTCTCTTAAAAAGGCTATGTGTGAAATAGGAAAATGTTCACACCACTGCATCGCCCTCCTGAGAACAGGTATTTAAAGATACAGCGAAGACTTTTGCTTCAGGATGCATTTTGACACTGAGCTGGGGCATGAACTACCATTTAATTAAGAAAGGGCAGGGATACTGGGCACAAAATCCATCTCTGCCCTCTCTTTGACATCACCTCTGGAAAGCATCACCTGACCTTGAGTGGCAAGACTGCTTTGTTGTACATTGGCCATGGTGTCAGATATAAACTATTCACCGTCAGAGGACCTACAGAGGTCAGGACTACGAGCTGTGCACATGGACACGAGTGTGATCTGGATCCTAGCCTTGTTTATCCCATGCCGCCTCGCTCCTTCCCGTCAGCACATTCTCACAGGAAAAGGCCAGAGTCTGCTTGCCTTGCTCCTGAGCTATTTTTCTTCTTTGGTGGTGCCCACTCAGAACAAACAGCTTTACCAGCACTGGAGTTTAGGGTTGTGTGACGGTCTCCGGGCTGGGGTCAATTCCATCATCTTCATGGCAGGGGGTGAAGGAGGATGTTTTATTTTAGGCAAAACCATCTGTTACCAACTCTGGCAGGGGAAAAGGGGGCCAAGGGGTGTTGCGCAAAACTCAGTCCCAAGACATGAGTAAGGAGGAGGACGTTTATTTCTGTTTCTGTGGGGATTTGATTTTTAAAGCCAATGTGATGTTAACTCTTAAGTGAGAAAATGAGAGAGAGAGAAGAAATGCTTTGTTCTGTTAGACACAAAGTCACTATGGGTTGGAACCGACTCAATGGCAGTCGATAACATCCAGTTGTTGTGTTATCCAGTCAGTTCTGACTCATAGCGACCTTGTCTAGGGTTTCTGAGGAGTGGCTGATGTCAACATAGCAGTGTTTATAAAAACTGGAAACCATATTATATGTGTCATAACCCAACCCTCTCAGTCTACAGACCCAGGCTCAGATGGTGGAATGACCTGCCCAAGGCCTCAGAGTCCAGTTAAGACTGAGCCAGGTGTTGCTGGGACTCCTTCCATTGATCACCTCTGCCTTTTTAAGCAGGAACTATAGACATATCTTCTGCTTTGCGTGGCAGGTTATTCATTACTCACTGAATGTGCATTCTTTTCAATGCCCTGCAGTCTGCACTGACAGACTGGAATCCTTCCAGCCCTGCTAGGGCACTCAACATCAGGGTTCAGATGATAACAAGGCAGAGTCTTAGAGTCGTCAATAAATTGTAGGGGCTCAGATTTCTTTCCTGTTTGTTCCTGCCATGGGGGATCCCCAGTAACCCCACCCTGACAACTCAGGTTCAGGAAAGCTTCATGTTGCTGTGGTTATAGGAGTCTGAGTGGCCTCGATCCATGTCCTGCCTCTTCCACCTATTAGCTATTTGGCAAGTTACTGTCATTCATTTAGCAACATTCACTGAGCTCCTGGGCTAAGTGAATGCTGCACAAGACCAGGGGTCTCCTCATGGAGATCACATTCTCCCTAGAGAGCCAGGCCACAAACACACAGTGAGCTTGGCCTGTTTGAGAAACAGAAAGATAAGCTTTCTTCATCTAGAAAAATGTGGCTAATAAAAACTTCCTTCCTCCTCACGCTGACGTGAGCATTAAACCAAACCCATTGCTATTGTGAGAGAAATACACACTCATGTTAGTATGAACCGGTGACCCTGGCGCTGCTTGTCTCGTGACTGGCTTTCCGTCAGCACATTCTGTCAGAAGAAGGTGAGAATCTGCTTGGAGGGCGGAGGAGAACTACCCCATGGGGTTTCCAGGGCTGTAATCTTTACGGGAGCAGACTGCCAGTTTCTTCCAGACTCATGCTAACCAAACCTCTGACCTTTCAGTTAGCAGCCGAGCACTTAATCAAAGCACCACCAGGGCCCCTGGAGCACTGCTAGAGTAAAGTTAGTGCAGTGGCTCCACATGATAAGCACTGGACTGCGAACCTCAGGGTCTGCGGTTCGAGCCCACCAGCCGCTCCGCAGGAGAAAGATGAGACTTTCTACTCCCTCAAAGATTTAAATCCTCAGAAACCCTATACAGGCTGGCTATGAGTTGGAACCGACTCTACAGCACTTAACAACAACAACAACAACAACATTTAGATGTTCAGAAGACTGTTGCCAGAGGGCACATCCCACCTTGAGTCCCTGTCTCTGTGGAACAGGACTCCTGGTTTCATCTTTTTGAAACTAGCATTTGTTCCGTCTTTCTGGAATGCTCTTCCATATCTCTCCTCCTCGTCAAATCAGTAATGATCCTTCAGCTCAGCAGCTTCCATATGGTCTCTTCTCTGACAGCCCTGACCAGGGCCAGGGTCCTTTCTGTGTAAGATGCCGCAGGACCTTCCTGGACATTGGCAGCTGGGACACTCAGACTTCTCTGGTCTCCCTCCAGCCGCTAGGAGTCCCTTGTTGCTCCTCCCACTCTGGGCTCCCTACCCCCAAGGTCTGTGCATGCACCTCCCTTCCTCCCTCCCTCTCTCAGCCTTCAGATCGGACCCTCCCTATTACTGTACCCTCTTCTTTGCTTCAAACATGTATCTCTGGTTATGATGTGGTGGTGGTGGTGGTGGTGGTGGTGGTGGGCTGTGGAGTCGATTCTGACACATAGTGAACTTTGCATATGGTTTCCGAGGCCCAGTGTTACATGGTCCCCCTCTAGTAAATCAGCTGCCAGGAGTTAGGCTCCAACCCATAACCACCCTACATGTGTCAGAGTAGAACTGAGCTCCATAGAGATTTTAATGGCACATCTTTCAAAAGTAGGTTGCTAGGACTTTCTTCCAGGGCATTTCTGAGTGAACTCAAACCACCAACCTTTTGGTTATCAGTTAAGTGCATTAACCATTTGCACCAGAATCTTATAATACTCAGTGCTGAATCCTTAGGAATGGATCACGTTTTTTAGCGTCTTCCCGGGATAAACCAAGCATGTCCCACACACTGAGTCATCATTATTCTATGCTATGCTCTTTCATAATTATAATGATTACTCTACATGTAATGATCCATTACTCCTACATAATTCTGTGATTGCAGGCCTTGTGCATACTGAACTAGCCTGGGCTGTGTCCAGCACATTTCCCTAGAAGCTGCCTCCAAGGGATAGGAGCAGGTCAGCTTTACCAAGTGGTCATGGTGCTCAGCATTTCCTCCTTCCCCATAGAGTCCTTCCAGTGTTTGCAGGTTAAGAGTAGAGCAGAGGGTGCTCAACCAGAAGACGTTTTAATACAATCTTTTCATTCTCTATAATAAGTTTAAACTAGAAAAATTTCTTCAGCAGGATTAAAGTCTAGCTTCCTGCCTTCTAAAGAAACATACATTATAAAGTATAAAGCATTTTTATACCACAACTCTGTATAACAGAGCTAAGAATTTTTTCTAAAAACATGTTTTTCTCAAAACCTTAAAGCCCTGTAAACAAATTATTCAGTAATATTGCCTGAAAAAGATGTTTATAGCTGAAAATAAAATTAATTTAAAGGAAAAAAAAAAAGAGTAAAACAGAGGTTGGGAAGGAGTAGCTGTTCTATCTGTAGGAATCTTCTAGTATTTCCTCTAGTCCAGGGCATGTTGAGGTACATTTGGGTATTAGAGCCAAGAGGTTGAAAAGACACAAGAGGGTGCAGTGGAGTCTTAGACTGAAAATAACTTCTCCTGGCCCCTCAGCAGTGGTCTTGACAGAAGGCTGAGAGCCAGATCAGCCTCCACTGTGCCAGGTGCCAGCTCTCTTCAGGTGAGCCTGACTCCTCAGGATCTGCCCCACCAGCCCCAGCCTTGCCTCCTGGCAGGCCCTGCATGAGCCCCCTGCCTCTCACTGCTCCCTATACGTATGGGACACATTGATGCTCCTTTGCTGAGGTGCTGGCAATGTTCCCATGCACATCAGGCAGGGGATGCCAGCCTCATCTTTGTAAGAGTCCTGAGAACCTGCCGAAAAGACCCAGGAAGCTTGGTCAGCTGACTTGAGAGCCAGCCTTGGGGAGAAGTTGCTGTGTTCAGCCTTCGCTGCCTTTCTACTCAAACGTGCCAACTATTCCTTTGGCCAGTCCTTACCAGGAGCCAACATTAGTCAACTGATTTTCAATCCAACAAGCAGGAATAGGCAGTGTGAGGGCAAGGCAGGAACTTAACCTTGAAGGAACTCAGGGTATCACAGCGCCCCACAACTTATGGTATCTCCAGGACTGACTTATGGTATCTCCCGTCCCACCCTTTCTGACTTTCAGTATGAGCAGAACAAGCTGGAGGGTAGGAATCAGAGAGACACCGCTCCAGGTGAAATAAACATTTGTCGGGGCTGAACAGCTGCCTCCATGAGCTGCCTCCTTTGTCATAAGACCAGAAGTGGATGGTGCCTGAGAGCCATCTAATTACTAAGCATTATGATCGACGTATAAAATTACATCTGATTACTAAACATTATGCTCAACGTATAAAATTACATCTGATTAGTAAACATTATGATCAAAGATTCTAGAGGCAAATCCTGATCAAAAGGGGTAAACATGCAACGGAATGTCAAATTCTCATGGACTTTAGGCTTTCTGGAACCTTTGAAACTGGATAACGCCTACGCACACACACACGCACACACACAAACTTTTAACCTTAAATAAAAACTATCTCTTGAAGTCTTATTGGAAACAATAAATATCTTACTTTAATTAGTAAAGTACATCTGCTTTGAGCATTGTGTTCTTTTAAAGAATCATCTATGTGAGGCCAAACTGACAATGACGACTAGAAAGATTGGCTGGAAACTTAGGGACAGTGAGTTGATGATGGTGGTGGTTTATCAATGTGGGAAAAGGCAGAATGCTAGCAAAGCTGGAAGAATGTAACCAACGAAATGTGTCTGTAGAAATTGTTAAAATGGTGTCTCTTTGTCTATGTATATTTTCACCAAAACAAGACACCCCAGGACCCAGTGGCTCCCAGACAAGAGATAAAGCAGAGATGAAACATCTTAAACCACCACCCACAGATTTAATCCAGAAGCACAATCATGCAGCCAAGCAATGAGGAAATTCGCAAGAAGAATTGCTAGATACCCATTTTGCCTCTTTTCCCATTTGTTCCTTTTTCGCCTTTTGGACCCTGGAGACCGGGCAGTCCATGTGATCCATTGTGTCCTGCTATGCCATCTGCTCCAGGAGGTCCTGGGTCAAAACACAAAACAGGGATAGTTCCAAACTCATCACTGAAGTGTTCGTGCAATTTGCAGGCACCCGATGCGGTCTCCACCTTTGCTGTTCCCTCCCCACCCCTGCAGTGACAGATGGTGGGGGTGGGGATGTAGGTTCTTGGAATGGGAGGTGGCAGGGGAGCTTGCGACTGGGGTAGAGAGAAGGGCTAGGGGAAGGGAGGGGGCATACTCAGGGCCACCTCCATATTCTTCCTCCTCCCCACCTCATCCTTTCTGGAGGACGTTGGCGAATCACCCAGATCCTCCTAGGAAACTGGAAATTCTGTGGGAGCTTACCTGGTGGGCCAGGTGGTCCTACAATAGAAAAAGAAATTAGGATGATAAACTACTTGAAGGAAAAAAGGCCAGCATCACAACCCAAAATAAATCAGAGTACCCTCCCCTACCCACACCTACCTTAAAATGTACTAAAGATTTAGTGATTTTAAGGAACGGATCCCACACCTTTTATTTCAAAATCCTTACATTTGCCTAACAAGGAGCCCTAGTGGTATTTGGCTGCTAATCAAAAGATTAGTGGTTCAAACCCACCCATGGGCTCTAAGGGAGAAAGATGTGGTCATCTGCTGCCATAAAGATGGCAGCCTAGAAAAACCTACGGGACAGTTTATGCTCTGTTACATACGGTTGCTATGAGTTGGAATTAAGTCAACTGCACCCAACAACGCATTTGCCTAAGAGATTCTTAAAAGCAATTCAACAAAGACCCATTTACCAATCAAAACCATTTGTGCTGAAATTTCAATAAAAGAATAAGTTCCAAGTTGGCATTACTATGGATTAATAGATCTTTCATTTTATTTTACAGCAATGTCTCTGGACAAGGGCATCATGCTGATAAAGCGGAGGGTCAGCGGGGGGTGGGGGGAGGGTAGGGAAGAGGAAGACCCCCCAATGATATGGATTGATGGGGATGGGTTCAAACATGACAATAATTGAATTGTGAGGCTGACGCAAGACTGGGCAGTATTTCCTTTCATTGTGCATTGGATCCTTAGGAGTCAGACTTAACACCTAATGACAGCAATCGAGTAATCAATTTAATGAGGTTCAATAAGAGGACACAGGGACCCCAGTATGTGGCCTCAAAAGGTAGTGCCATCATTCAACGGTTAGACGTAGCTCCTGACCTGGACCCAATGCCCCCATCCACCAGCTTATCTCCTTAGGGCTGCCCAAGGGAGTTCAGAGCAAAATGGTTCTCTATTTTATTGTATGAAATAACCTGAGAAAAATCAAGAGCCCAGATCAGGTAACAAATTCCTTCCCTATTATGTGATTACCAGAGGATCTAGGGAGTTCAGAGGAATGGTTTACATATAATCTGACAAAACAATTTTGCTTCTTATTGTCAACTATTCTATTTGAGAACTCAGGCAAGGTAATGAGAAGGCAACATGAGCAGTTGAAATACTTGTGTTTCCCCAGAACACATATACCGATGACCGGTGCTGGAGTAGAAAGGTTTTCCCATAAATCCAAGTCAGTGATCAATCAGAAACTAAGCATTTATTAAGGTTGCTATTATTATTATTATTTTACTACATGCACCAAACCCCTCCTTGTGTGGGCCACACAAAACTGCAGAAATCTTGGTTCTTCCATTAATTGTGTTTACAATCTACTTGGGAAAGGCACTCTGAAACCACGATGATTTACGAAGGTGCTGAAATCCATTGCTGATGAACCCTCATCATGGTTGTTCATGTATATCAGAGCTGAACTGAGCTTCATAGGGTTTTTAATGGCTGGTTTTCTGGAAGTAGATCACTAGGACTTTCTTTCGCGATGCCTCTGCATGTCGTGGAGTTCGTTTTGACTCATAAGATCCTCTATAGGGTTTCTGAGGCTGTAAATCTCTATGGGAATGTTACCTATCAAAAATGGAGGATTTGTGAATCCAGGTGGAGACCTGGTTGGCCAGCAGTGTGGCAAGACCTGGGGACTCTTTGGCCCAGAGTTAGTGACATAGGCACAGAGGACTAGAGTAGAGAGTGAAGCATCCAGCTGATACGAAGAGAGGGCATATGCACAAGAACACCCACACTTGCAGATAATACCCACTTGATCTGGCTTCAATGACTGGATGATCAGAGCTCAACCCGAAGAAGATAGAAGAGGGGGAAAAAAAAAGAGTAATCTGATACAATTTGATGAACTTGACCTACACCTATGGATGCAGTAGCTCAAAAGAGGGAACAAATCTTTACAGCAAGGATCATTCCCACCCCCTCCACACACAGAGTAGACAGGGATGGGCATCTTGGACATTGGCTACCCAAAATAGGTGGGGAGGGCTACAAAGGCAAGAAGTGACTGGTTTACAAGCTTTCAAGAGGGAACCTAGATCCAGAGGGCGTGGGGGAAGGTAGAATCTCCAGTGAGTAGTAGCCAATCTGTCTGGGCAGGGCTGATGAAATTAAATGCAGATGGGTCTCTTGTGATATAATAGTGAATAATTGTTATCAGGACTGATTGTGAGGGTTGGAAAGAAGTTTTATAGCAAGGAGGGGAGTGATTAATATTTCAGTCTAGGAGTGGAGGTCCTTGGGACCATTAAGGGAGAAGAGTGGAGAGTAGGACCCTACACAGAGAAGCAGTGACGCCAGAGATGGAGGCAGAGATGATGATGTGGAGAGATGGAGCAGCTGGGGACTTTAGACACAAAGAGGGAGAGGGGCTGTGTGCTGAGGACCAGGGGGCAGGCTTGTAGTGTATACCCTTTGGTTGGTTGATGATGCATGGAGAGGATTGTAACCATGGCAATGAAACGATATACGATAGAATGAATGTAAAACTAATGTTCTCCCATGTAAACTATCACATAATTCACAATAAAACACTTTTAAAAAAATGGAGGCTATAAAAGCACGAAGGCTTCCTGAGTGTGCCTAGTTTCAGAATGAGGCAGGTAAGGTAGAATCGCCACAGGATAGTTTTCCTCTTCTCCAGGTAGATCTGGTGAGAGGGAATGGAGGGATGATGGTGATAGGATTTTATGATTCAATTGTGAGACATTGTTATCAGGATTAATCACTATGGTCACAATGGTAATTGTAGAAGATGTGTAACTGAAAGGAGCAGTAGTTAATCTTTCATTTCATGAACAGAGGACACCAGGTCCATCAAGAAGGAAGGGCATGAGTGGAGTGAGAGAATCTATTTAGAAAAGTGGCTACAGCAGAGATGGTGACAGAGGTAATGGCGTGAGAGAGAGAGGGCAGCTGAGGACTCCAGACCCACAGACTGAGAAAGGTTGAGTGCCTGGGGGCAGGAGGCTGGCTTGCAAAATGTGTCCTTTGGACACTTAAATGAATATATATTTTTTTGTTTTGTATGTGTGCATTAAATATGTTTGCTTTGTTCATTTATGAAATTAAGATATAAAAGAAAAGCAAGCTACAGAGAGGAAGCAGGATAACTATTGTTTTTGGGGAGGGGATTATAATCATTGAGATGAACCAAAGTGTACAATTTGTTGCTGTAAAGCTGGTGATCTTGTCTGTTAACCTTCACTCAATTCACAAGAAAAAGTTAATAAATAAATAAAATGGGGTGGAAAAGTATATTATAAATTAAAAAAAAATCTTTATGGGAGTCTCCTCTTTCTCCTGCAGAGCAGCTGGTAGAGTTGAACTCCTGACCTAGGGGTTAGCAGTCTAACAGATAACCCACTATGCTACTAGGGCTCCTTCAAGATGCCTTTGTTATTGTTGTTGTTAAGTGTCATAGAGTCCTAGTGTGGCGCTGCACGATAAACACTGGATTGAAAACTTGTTCTGAACCAAAAGGTTGGTGGTTCAAACCCACCAATCACTCCTCAGAAACCCTATACAGGGTCCATGTGAGTTGGAACAGACGCAACAACACTTAACAGCAACAACAATCCCTTCTTTATAGAGTTTCTGAGGAATGGTTGGTGGGTTTGAACTGCCAAGCTTGTGGTTAGCAGTCCAGAGCTTACCCTACAGCACCACACTGCTGTTGTTAAGTGCTGTTTTGAGTCCATTCCGACTGCTAGCAACCATGTATAGGGTTTCCGAGGAGCTGTTGGTAGGTTTGAACTGCTGACCTTGCTGTCCAGTGCATTCTCCTGCAGCACCACACCAGGACTCTCGGTGGACTCAAACTGCCAACCTTTTTGTTAGCAGCCAAGCGTGTTAACTGTATCAGATGAGAGAACTCACCTCTCCCATAGACATGTGTATGTAAGAATCAAAGGTGGTCCTATTAAAATCTAAATAACTGAGGGAGAAATGCAAATTCTCAGCAGGAGCTTGAACTGGAATGGGTGGGTTTGAAAGCCTGCTTTTAAGAGCCTTGGGAGAAAGGACAAGACTGGTTAGTGGGTGGGGGTAGGTTGGAGGCACTTGAATGCCAAGTCCAGTGGTTTAGAGCATTATCTGTGGAGGAAGAAGGAGCAACAATAGATGGGTTTTGTTTTGTTTTTCCTTTTTTATTGTAAAAAATGTATTGAGTAGAGGTTCACAGAGCAGATCATCTATCTGGCATTTAGCAAATCATACACTTCATTTCATCTCAATGATTTGCATTCCCTTAACATGGCTTCTCCTACTTCCTCCCTGTTTCTTGTTTCCATTTCTCCTGCACCTTTCTGAACTTTGTCCTTGGGTAAGTGCTGCCTTCTGGATCTCGAATGATTGACCATTTTGTGGTGTGCATACTTCACTAGTGTTGTTGCCCCCCTATAAACCTATCTATTGCTTGTCAGTAGATTCAGGGGAATCTGTATTTGTTTGAGATTTTCTTTGTAGTTGGAAGGTAACTAGAAGTCGATGGAAAGGAAAGAGAGAAAGAGAGAATCAACCCCAGGTATCTATATAGTGAAAACCAGGGATAAAGTTGGGGGATGAACATGGTGAGTGCAGAATTGAAGAGGAAGCTAGAAATTTAAGAGGTATCTCAGCAAACTCTGAGTGATTGTGTCTGAGGCAAAGCTGACTGGGAAGTAGGGCACTAATGGAGAGAGGCAACCCTAATAGTCATGGGAGCCTTAGAAGAAGGGTTGTTTGGGAGTTTGCTCCCCTGTAGCCAGTTCTACTATAGGCCAAAATGATTTTCTGAAAATGGCATCAGCGTCTAGGGTCAGTGAAGGCTGTGTCTACGTGATTTTAACACTAGATGGAGCACACGCACTGGTATGGGGGTCATGTGGACAGCTGACCTCAGTCAAAAGAAATCAATTGTGATCTTTTCCACCTGCACCAAACCCCAAACCAACTCCATCAAGTTGATTCTTCTGACTCATAGTGACCGTAGAATATTGGGTAAAA